GTCAGGGGGAAACAGTAAGGAGATATTTGAATTATTTACTAATAAACTAGTGTTTTCTGAGTCGTTGTCGCAAGGATGAAGTTGTCGATCCTGACTCACCACCTTTTCATTAGACGCGCCTTTAGAGATAAGTGCATCTTTACGGATTATGATCATAATGAAAGAGTTTTTGTTTTTGATTTGTTTTATTTCATCGAGTAGTAATTTAAGGCTTTCTATAGATATATTGATCATGTCTGTGAGGCATGTATTCGCTGAGTTTCGGTTCATTTTTGTAAGCGCTCCTGTTCAAGATGAGACTGCAGAAAGCACATTGTTTGTTTTCCTTATTTTATAAAAGCACAACGTTTTGTTGATATTGTGAGTGCACACAAATAAAAGTAGACCCTTTACAGTTACGAATGATGTATTACTCTTACCTTTATGAGCAAAAATGACGGCGTATCCACTGAATAAAATGCAAGTGATCGCGCTGGCGTCTCCGTGTCCTGCAAAGTGCGCTTCAGCTTCCACTCTCTGCGCAAACTATTGGATATAGCGCACATTTATCTAGGTTTATGATGATTCGAGAAGGCTAAATTGATCAAACATATGCTCACTGTCTGCAGCTGGCCACTTGGTCGTTACTTTAAATGCGTAACGTTAATTAGACTATGTGAGTAGGCTACTGCTCATGTCTGAAAATAACATATGAAAAACTAAATTATTTTACATAAAAACATTAGACTATAGCTTATATTTATTTAGTACATTTTTAAATTGATGTAAAAACTCAAATGAATTGTAAAACTGAAAGTATTTTTTTTTATTGTGTTCAGCATGGTGGGCCGCATTTGAATTTGTGACGGGCCGCATGCGGGCCGCGGGTTGAGAACCACTGCTTTATACTGTCAGACAGTGAATTTTTGCGTTCTCATGCAGCAGAAATATGCATTATTTTGTCTGAGAAATAATAAAAAGACACTTTCTCATTTATAAGTCTTAAATCTCATTTTGTTAAAAAAAATGTATCATGACACCAGTATCGTAAATTATATCGCATCGTGAGTTGAGTGAATCGTTACATCCCTAGTTTTTAAAATGATGTAACCTTGATTAAAAACAGGAAATGATGGGACCGCTTTGACTACTCAGTGTTGGGTCCAGTATTGGCTTTCTCAATGTAAATTCTGTTGCTCCTTTTGAATTCTTCATAAATGTTAAATTGTGCTTTTGCTGATCCTTTTTGTTCACCCATTGATTTATTTGTTTGATTAATTTGCCCATAATGCTTTGCTCTTTCAGTGTGAGTTTAGCTGTTCAGCCACCAGTCACTTACGATTCTCAGTGTGTTCTATGGTGTTGTTCTCTTTCCAGCTCTTTAAATAGCCTAATGACTCTCTCTTTATTTTCTTTTCTTGTCTCTCCATTGCTATTTTTATCACTTGCTACCTTTCCCTTGCTTGGTCTCTCGCTCCTGGTCTCTTCACTTTCTTAGGGCCCTCCCGGCTCCCAGGCCTCCCCTCACGCTCCTCCTCCCCCTAACAGCATGATGGGACCCCACGGCCAGGTAGTGGCTCCTGTCTATTCACGGACTATTTCATTTGACTGATTCTGCCCTCTGTATTGTTTCTCTCACGCTGCCTTCCTGTTAGCCTGCTCTGCTGAGCTGTGGTTCCCCAGTGTTCTCGCAGGCATCTTTGCAACTTCATTAGATTCAAACATAATGTGAGTGTTACAGATTTCTGACAGGTTGATTTGTGTTGCAGCCTTTCATGTCACCTCGCTTTGGTGGGGGACCACGACCACCCATCAGAATGGGCAGCCAGGTGAGTTCATCAACGTGGTCTTGATGTCAGCTTTCGTAGCTTTAATTAAAATGTCCAATCAAAAAATAATAATGATGATAAAAAAAATAGATGTTAAAATGAAAAAAACAAACAATGTGTATCTAAATGTTTCGACACTTTTTCAGCCCCCAGGTGGCGTTCCAGCCGCCCAGCCAATGCTCCCAAACATGGATCCGAGACTACAGGGTGAGCCTGAGTTTTTTACATATATATATATATATATAACAGACTCATTGCAAGTTATCGCAAACACTTGATTGCAGTTGTTGCTGCAAAGCGTGGCACAACCAGTTATTAGATTTCGGGGGCAATTACTTTTTCACGTAGGGCCAGACAGGTTTGGACAGCTTTTTTCCCTTAATAAAATAAATCATCATTTAAAAACTGCATTTTGCATTTACTTGCATTATCTTTGTGTAATATTAAAATTTGTTTGATGATCTGAATCTTTTAAGTGTGACAAATATGCAAAAAATAAAAAAAAAACAGGAAGGGGGCAAAAACCTTTTCACACCAATGTTTATGTATATGTTTTCAAACATATTTTAAAGCTGCAGACAGCCTAAACTGATTTGACTTCTCCTTTCCCCATCTCAAGGGCCGATGCAGAGGATGAATGTTCCTAGAGGAATGGGTCCCATGGGCCCCGGCCCCCAGAGTTTTGGAGGAGGGATGAGACCACCACACAACTCAATGGGCCCTGGCATGCCTGGAGTGAACATGTAAGAACTTTTGTGACAATATAGATTACCATTCAAAAGTTTGGGGTCAGAAAGATTTCAATAAAATTAATATTTTTATTCAGCAAGGACACATTAAATTGATCAGAAGTTTCAGTAAAGACATTTATAATGTTACAGAAGTTTTTTTTCCCAATAAATGCTGTTCTTTTGAACTTTTTATTCATTAAAGAATCCTAAAAAATATATCAAAATAATAAACAGCACAACTGTTTTGTTGTATTGATAATAATAAAAAATGATTCTTGTGCACCAAATTAGCAAATTAAAATGATCATTGAGAGGATCATGTGGCACTGAAGACTGGAGTAATGATGAACTTTTCTGTTGTAATCTTTTAAATTGTAATAATATTTCATAATATTACTGTTTTTACTCTATTTTTGATCCAATAAATGCAGCCTTGGTGAGCATAAGAGACTTCTTTCAATAAGAATTTAAAAAATCTTATCAACTCCAAATTTTTGAACAGTAGGCATAGTTAATGTAAACGACTGATTAAATGGAAACTAAATCCTCATACACGTTATTTTATTTTATAGGGGCCCTGGAAATGGCAGACCACCATGGCCAAATCCAAATGCCAACAATGTGAGTCAAAATTGTTTCTGTATTATATTCTAGTGTTTTATAACAATAATTACATTTATTACTATAATCGTATGCTTCATGCCCAAACATAATTCTGTTTGTTTTTGTTTTAGATGCCATATTCATCACCATCTCCTGGTGCCTATGGGGTAAAAAAAAGAGTTCCTAATCTACTGCACATTTTATTACTATAATAATTTATAAAGACTTTGGAGTATGACTTTAAAGCTGTAATCCTTTGGTTTCTCCAGGGTCCACAAGGAGGGGGGCCTCCAGGAACACCTGGAATTGTTCCTAGTCCAGCAGGTCTGTTTGCCACACGCTGTAATTCAGCTGAGAGTCTTTCATAACCTTCTCTGTTGGATTTAGTTTAACTCTGATTTCCATAGATGTCAGAATTACCCCAGGCTTTGCCTAAAGCAGAATATTGATTGCTTAACTGATCATGTAGAGATTTCCATCCCATTAATGAAACATCTCTCACCCTCAGACTCCAACAACTCCAGTGAAAACCTGTACACCATGATAAACTCAGGAGGTGGAGGCCGCAACAGTGTAAGAGACAGACCTGCTGACTCATTTCTCAGAGGCACACCATTCAGAAATTGCTTAGTGTATTACATTAGTGCAGCTGAAGTGCCCTTGGCTGTGTTCATGTTACCCTTTTTCATATGAAGCATAACAATGTGCCATTGCCAGACACAGCTCTCTTTTTGTCCCACAATAAAAATGGTGTGCTGGCACAATGCAACACAACAGTTAAATTGGTGTAAAGTGTGTTTGTACTTTTCCTGTAGAGTGTATTAACTTGTTTGTTTCTTTCTGTCTTTACAGCAGTACTCTCCTTCCATGACCATGAGCGTCTGATGCCAGTCTGTTTGCTCCACTCTGGAAACTCACAGTTGGCCATCGATGACATAGACAGAGTACATGTACAGGAAATGGAATTGGGTGGGACTGCCCTGCGTCCTCACAAGTGGTCTCATGCAATATCAAAATGATTTTTGTTGTTACTTTTTTTTTTTAAATGGCAAGCAAACCTTTTCTCCTCTCTCAGATGGGAAGATCTAAGTGTGACTCAGTGCTCCTGGATTTTTAGTTTTCTTGTTCCCCTCAGAGGCCATCTCTCATCAAGAAGAAAAGTATAGTTACTGCTGACATAATCGCTGGATGTGTGTACATTTTGTGCCGAAGAGGAATAATCGCAGTTCGCTCTCTCTCGAAATCCGACATCCACGTCCAACTTCAGCATGGTTTACACGTACGAAACTTCCTCTGACTTTTTGACACTGAACTCTCATACGTGGCCTTGAATTCTGTGAATATTTTATTGCCTTTCAATGACCTGTTTTGATTTTTCTCCAGTGAAATGCATCAAGTGGTGAGAGAATTCTGTCTTTTCTGAACGGGGAAAGACTCGCAGTTGTATTTTACTCGTACACTGTCATTTTTGTCTTCAAGCATTATAAGCAGCTGCTTTTAAGGAATAACTGCATTGACGGGTCCCGTCATTAAGATGACTTTTTTTGTTTTATGCACTGATTTCATGTTCTCTTATTTTTCTGAAATTTAACTGCTGTCTCAATCTTTGGTCAAAGACTGAATGATACGCTGATCGTCTCAGATGCTGACCCTGACAAACATACTACCTATGAGACCTTCTCAGAGCTCCTCAGGCGGGTGACTGGATAACGCGTCTGGATGGGTCTCCCTGCAAAAAGTTCGGCCATTGTTGGGTTTGATTGTCATGATGAATTTGTGATGGTTAAAGATACCCTTATCATCTTTTTCTTTTTCTTTTTTTATATATATGTAATTCCCTCCCACGTGCCTCTTGTTTTAGCTCTGAAATGGTTTGATGTTGGTTCAAAGGTATCATCCCGTAAGGATGTTGCTTTTGTAAGCCAGACTCTAGTGTGTTTGGATTTGTTTTATATTAGGTTTAATTTTTAGCGACATCAGACAAAGTCATACTACAGTTAGAATGGTAACTTATTCTATTTATACAGACATTTGGTCATTGTTTTACATTTTAGTAGCTGTTTTGCACTGCTTTTGTTAGCTTGTGCATCATACTTTTAACTGTGGGCTAAATAGGCTTGTTTTATGTATTGACTACTAAATTATTTGGCTTCTTTGAGGATTTTCGTCTTATGTTTTTCAGTCATTTATTCTAATTCAAACAGGAAAGCAGCGTTTCAGCCTACCTTTGGTTTCTAGTGAATCGCTTTTTAAGAGAAAAGGGAAAGCTCAATGTGAAATGATTTTAACTTTGGGAAACGATGTAAAGCTGTTGATGTTCCCCGACTTCTTTAGGGTAGCATCTCTCCAGAGGGCCAAGATCCAGCCATTTGATTTCCATGTAAATCATTCTCTTTGAATCAGTGAACCAGTTTCGATGTAAGATAAAGTTGTTCCCAAATTGTCTCAAGCCTCTGTCTGTTTTCACTCATGGTGCAATGCATGTAATGTTTTTACTAGGCAGAGCATGTCGGAAGAACCCATCGACGAAGCTCTTCGCTCTCCTCTTCTGCAAAATGTCCAGCAGGATCATAGTGGACACGGCTCAAACAGGCTGCAAGGGTGTCATGCACAACCTGTGAGGCAGAAGTAATTCATAAGAGCGCTACAGGTTTTGGCCAACCAACTGGCACTTAAATTCTGCAAACCAATGATCGACCTTAAAGAGTCTTTTTCTTTCTCCGCAACTCTCAAATGGTATTAGGGACTGTTCCCACAGAAAATGTTTTCCATTGTTTTTTCAAAGTAAATGCACTCGACCAGTTGTTTGCAACTGTTTTGACTCTAAGACCCTCTAATGACCCCAAAAATATTTGAAAGTGATCGTGTCTTGAGGAAAGTTAAATGTGTCGCGGATAGTAATGAGACCTTTAAAAAACTATTAGAGTTCATTTTCAGACGGTCAAAGTTAATCTCGCACGTTTTGTCTTGACAGAAATACTTGATCGCGTTAAGTAGGCTACATACATTAATTCATTATTACCTCTTTAATGGGATAGCTCGCGCACAAATTTTAATACAGCAGCATTCGCATTATACTGTACAATTCAGAAAGATCAGGAGAATGTTATGGCCATGCAGCCAGTGAGTTGGCAAGGCATCACACATGTACATGATGAACATCTTAAGAACTCCGCACATGTCCAATGGGACAAAATCTCTCTACCATGCCTAATTAAATTGTTCTTTGGCTTTCTGTCTCCTAGATAAGTCAACTAATGTTTTGCGGTTGAATGGTAAATATAGTCGCATAATTTTTAATTGAATCAACACATTTCCAATTTCTGAGCTGAATGATGTTTAATCAAACATTCTGAAGTTGTCCCATTAAGTTACTTCAGCATATAAGATTATGATTGTGTATGAGAGTTGCTGTGATTATCCATGATTGTTTTTTTTAAACACAAGTTAATACTTCGTATACGCTGACAAACTCCCACGTCAAAGTGTTGATTCAGCTCATGAAATAATGAGTAATTGACTCTAAGGGGAGTCATCGGTATAGTGTTTCGGGTTTCTATGGAAATGCATCTACCCCCACACACATATACAAACTCGGCACTGTTTGGTCACTCTGTAAAATGTGGCATTTGCACTCATAAGTTGAATTCCTATAGCTTGATGAAGTTTCCTGTGCTTGCCTGGCTGATATTCAGTATGTCTCAGGATGTGTGGTGTGGTGCTGCCATTATTGACTGTTAAAAAGTATTAAAACCCTCAGATTGATCCGATTCAGAAGTTCTATAGGTAAATGCTTTATATACAACAACTAGCTTTATTGCTTCCTGTAAACATGTGTTGTCCACAAGATTGCTTTGTTTTAGTTGCTGTGGCTGATTGCACTTGAGTTTAAAAAATGTTTTACGTCGGTGGTTGCATCACTGGTAAACCGTTGTGGGCTGCACAATTATCTGCTCTTGCCTGAGCATTTTTTGTTCTTTTCTCTTGTCTTAGGGCTTTCTCTCTCATACTTACACACACTTGATCTCTATGCAGTTGTGGTCTCACTCCCACACATCCTCGACTGCGGCCCACGTCTTTTGGGGAACTCCTATGACATCAGAATGAGGCATGGATAAATTAGCGGTGTGGGGAAACTGTCATGTTTGCAGCTTGTTCCATTGATTCACAAAGTCCTCATGATCAATGTGCAGTGCTATTTCATCCTGGTCGATGACATCACTGAGCAACCCTTTAACAAGTGAACGTTTTTCAGTGTCAGTCACCAAGCCTTTGAGAGCCAGCTTGCTGTAATGGAAGCCATTGAAACATTTCTCACAAACAGGTCTCTAGAGGACCTTCTCGATTGTTGATTCAGCTTAATTTGGTTGGGAGTTTACAAGCTTATTTTTGAGAGAAAGATGCAGTCGGTGAGGCATAATCTGCGGGAAAAAGTCTGAAAAACATTTCTAATTGAATCGAGTAGTGTTTGAGGAAAGATACTCTTGTGGTTTTAGAAGATTACAGCATCTGATGTTCAATCATTATGGTTTGGGATCATTCCGTTGTAGTTTTTCAAATAATATTTAAAACCTCAACGTACTTAATCTATCCTGAGGTAAAACATTCAGACGTCGGCGACCTTTATTGCTGGTTGGATTATAACTACAATTTAGGCTTTTTATTGCACCTGTGATGTCATAGCAATGTCCAGCTTTGTTTTATTTATGCTTGCGGGATGTGTAATACTAAGCCAAAGAAACGGCCTGAATCATCCTTCATTTCAAGGGCACCCTCGCCCTGCCAGTACAACCCTCTCAAACCAATAATTCTGTTAAAAAAATATTATCTGGTTTGAATAAGGGTCGAAATATCGATGGAATACAAGAGGAAATGTGCAGTGGACCTGGGCTTAAACGGAGGAAAAACAGAATTGGCTCTGATGTGTCATCATAAAATGTATTTTTAGCTTGGACCATGTCTTGAGAATCACTCATAAAAATGCGCCCACACTCTCCAACCTTTTTTCCCTCTTGCTTTTTGATATAGGGGTCGAATTCCTGCCTCATGTGAAATGGATCTGATTGTTTTGCCTACTCGCTCTGTCTCCCTGACTCCGTACTGAGATGAAGGGGCTACTCGCTCTCGGCCTGTGCCAGGGGGACATGCCACAGCTAACCACACATCTACATGGGCCGAATTACTCATGCATTTTTAGACGGCAGCAACTCCAGACTTCTCTGTGACCGTGCACGCGGGTGGTTTTTTGATTTACATTTCGACAGTGGCACTTGCTGTTCTTGGCCCAGTGCTTGTTTGCTTCATCAAAGAAAAATCCTCTTTGTGGCGGTGTTGATCGCAAGGCCTAAAGCGGACGCGACACTGAAAGATGGCTAGGTGGCTGTGACCCTTTCTATCCACTGCTGATTTAGTGTTAAAGGTGACGGATGGCGATCGACACCATGCTGGTCTTTGTACCAATACAGCTGTTTTTTTCTACTCCTCCCAGTTCACTTGCCTGTTTAATAGAACATAAATATGGATACCAAACCAGTGCCAAGTTCCCTGGTGGGTCTTTTATTAGAGTAAGTATTATTCTTTTATATCGAGAAATACCACAAAGATTACAGCCGATTCTTGGTACAAACAAAATCTGGCCCCACAAACTGCCTTTAATTTATACAGAGGACGTAGTGAATGTAGACAGATTCATA